TGTGGAAGCCAGAACAAAAAAAGGCGAAGAGTACAGTCGTTCAACTCTTCTCGGTTTTCGCAATTCCATCGAACGACACCTAAACAACAACGGTGTTACAGTGAAAATATAAAAAAACCAAGTATTTCAAAACAGCAACAAAATTCTCGACGCCAAGCTCAGAATCAACCGCCGCGCTGGCAAAGAAAATATTAAACATAAGCCAGTTATTGTACCATCTGACCTTGCCAAAATTCGAGCCAGCCCGTTCCTCAGTCTAGTGCTCCACTCATGCAAAGTTCGAACCGAATGGCCTCCAACGTTTCGATGTCGACCCCAACCGCAAGCTTTCCGATTTCCGAGTGGCTTTTTTAACTCCTGCAATATTCAGGGCAACGTCCAGGTGTTTTTCGGCTTACAGAACCGCTCTGATGACAAAAAGTGACTTGATTTTTTGCGGCATTTTATTTCAGAGTTGTTGATTACGCAGTTTTGATTCAGCTTTCAAAGCGATTGTCTCTTCCAGGACAAGCGACGCTCGATTCAAATTTGACAGTGGCGTGATTCTTTGAACCAATCACAATTCTTTGCTAAGCATAGCAACCAATCAGTTCATTTTGTATAGACAATAGATTACGTCAAAGGCTATTTTCGTGTCTGTCAAAGTGGGGAAATTTGAAATAAAAAGGCTTTTTTCCGTATATTTTAATTCTTTATAATATAAAACAAATAGATTCCAAGTTGCCGTGCGTCTGTTCAGTAATAGATCACAGATGACGTCAAAATGTGGTAAGAACAAAAAAGTGGCACACGAGGCGCAGCCGAGTGTGTCACTGATTGGGAGGGCGAGGGAGAAGGTAATGCGCAGGCGCGATTGCGTGCCTAACTTGGATACCCTATTAGTGTACGCCAAGAGGCACCGTCAGATGACGATATAGTGCGCATACTCGAAAGTCGAGCTGCAGTGTAGCGTACTGCGGGCACACGGTTAGGCATTGCACGAGGGCTTCACGTGAGGATCAGCATTAGATTCCATCCACCAAAACCACCTCGGTCGAGAGGGACTGAGATGGAATATTTAATGACTTGCAAAACATAACCGAAGATTCTCGGAAATCCGCAAGTGATGAAGCCCAACATCCGAAGCTGTAAATCCCATGATTCTTGAGGAACAAACAGAAACAGCATAGCGAGAATTTTAAGTCGCGAACCACTGATGGTAGACATGCAGATAATTTAGGATACGTAAATTCTGTTGATGAGGCGCGTAAACTTATTGCGGAATTTGAAACAGGATTGACGACGAAGTTTTCTTTCTTTAAAGCTGTCAAAGGTTTCGGGAACATATATATATATAAATTGATATAGCTCTTTAGCATTACAAAGCTTTGCTATCGCTATTGTGCATTCTCACTAGTTTATCTAGTTCGAGTCCTCTGGCATGGCTTGGATGATACCACAGTTGTGGAATCATTCGGGTTAATTTAATGCTTACACCTCCTACACAAAATACTGGGGAAGATGCATGAGATATTTAAGGAGCAAAAATTCGTTTTTTAGTGGTGTGCCTTTTTTTATCCTCAACCTTTGTGTTTCTGTCAACTATGGCTTGCTTATTCGAAAGGTCAAATACATGAATGGGCAATTCTGCATTTTTTGCTTTCTATCAAGCAATCATATGTTTGCTCCTTATCACGCTATGACACTTCCGTTTTGTCACATTCCAAAAAATAACTTGAGAAATACACTGTCACTCATCTTACACTGTTATATTTACCTATTACAGAAGGCCGGAAACAAAGATTTTGTTTTCAAGAAAATAAGATTTCTTGTCCAAGACACAAGGAAGTTTGACTGCAAAGCTCAGATAAAAATGCAAGAAATTTTATTTTTTTCAGAGAACAAGGTAGTTCTACTCATGTATAAACAGAACAAATGTGATTTAATAAATCAGATATGCAGCATGACTCCTTTTCTTCCATCCCCACTCAAAACAAGCAAACACACCTATATAGGTTCCAGTCTGGTCTGCAAATGAAAAGGAGGAAGGTGATCACTGCAAAATTAAGCATTAGGGTTCTTATTCATAACATATTGATTATTGTATAATGATATCTAGAAATTAAGGTTGCAAGTAGCAGCCAGCTGAGTTATAGTTTGAGTTTTATCAAGTCCATTACTTTGTTAAATTTAGAGTAACCTTGTCTTGAGAAAGGAAAATTGAGGAGCTGTAATATACTTATCATCAATTAGGGACCACAAAGAAAAATTTATTTATAGAGACCTTTGAAGGAGAGGGGTAAGACTTGTGACAAGCTGGCAGACATATAGATAAATTTTACTGCTAAATGGGTTACAATACAAAGTGCTCAGTATTTGGATCAGCCATGGCTCAACTTAAACTTTGCTTTAGCTTCAAGTTTAATCCTTTGTGGTTTCCTTTCTCAGTGTGTTTATTTTTCAAGTTATGTACACAGAAGAACACAAAAATGACAAGGAATGCTTTTGAATATTAAGAGGCTGGAATAAGCAAGAAACCAAAACTGAATTTTAAACAGTACAAAATTAATTTGATCTTCCAATGTTATTCAATTTTAACCATTAATAGAATTTGCTATTTAAATTTATCCCCTCCATTTTTCTGGATATTGTGAGCAAAAACAAACAATTATCACAAAATGCATGGTATACAATGGTTTGATTCACCAATGTGGCAAAGGCCTTTCACTGTCTATCCATAAAAAGGGAAATAGTTTGTAAAATGTAAGACATTCTGCATCTTGAGCGTATACTTATTCATCCATGTGAAATTAAAGGTTACTTGAAATAAATGTGAAAGATTTATAGGATTTTCAGACCCCTGATAACAATTACTAATGTGCTGATTTGTTGTACTTAAAGGTTATGACTTTAGCGGAAATAGTGGAAGAAATTTCTGAACCTGGAATTTTGTTGCAAATGTCTGTTTAAATCAGTTTAAGTCAGTTAAAAACTCTCCTGTTTCAAGATTACATGATTACCACACCAGAACCTTTTGTATTCTATATTGCGCACCATGTTATGATTATGGTTTCAATAATAAAAGGTGCTGACTCAAGAACTTTGCAAAATATCTCTACATACAAAGAAATAGATTGTGGTTATGTACTCCAAATAGCAGGTCACATCAGTCTTCTGTAAGGAAATAGCAGAAATTGCTATGGTGGTTTTGGTGGATGGAGAGAAACATCCACCAAAACCACTTTATTCTATGTGTTAGGAGTTATGATAATCATTATGAACGTTTGGTCGGTCAGCAATTGTGCACCATAAAAAATAATTACCCCCGGTAGCCAGAGCACTAACTGCTAATTAGTGGTATAAATCTTTTGTCTCCCTGAACATCTAACAGTGGCTATAGATAAAATTAAAAAAATATATTGTTGATGGTTTCGGTCAAAGTTTTGGTGGATGTTCCCTAATGACATCCACCAAAACTACGTAACATCTGGGCACCTTTTAAATACGTGAAATATCTGAATAAAATTGCGTAAAATGTTTTATAATACTACAATCGAACAATAAATTAATACTTACCATTTCTTGAGTAAAAAGTTTTGACGCAATTTCCCAAACAAATGATACACTTAGGTCATCGGGCTAAGTCGGCATGTTGTCGTAGCTTCGTAATTTTCATTTAGTATAACAAGTCATGAGTTGTCCATCATTCCATCTCAGTCCCTCTCGACCAAGGTGGTTTTGGTGGATGGAATCTAATGCTGACCTCACGTGAGCTAGTAGATGAAATTTGCCACCCGCGTTTTGAGCGGGAAATCAAACTGGTCAGGATGTAGTTGAACAGTAATTCTCAGTATTTTGCAATTTCTAAACAATTCGTAAGACAACAATACCGGCAGAGTTTAAGCTTTGTCAACCGGAGGAAATTGTTATAATTCAAGTTCGTGGAGAGAGGGTTTTAATTGAAAATAGGCTGGATATAAAGAGAGAGAGAGCGACCAAAGAAAGCAACAAGTAAACAGCGTTAAGCGAGTCCAGGAAATCGCGCAAGAAAGTTAGAAAGGACGCCAAAATAGGCAGAATACGGCGAGAAGAACGCAAAAGAGAACAATAGAGGGCATAAGTAAAAAGGCGAGTTTCTTGCGAAGAGCAACGCGAGGAGGAAATACAAAGTCGCATCTGAAAACAGACTGAAAAGAGGTCATCAACAAAGAGAAGCGAACTACAAAGGATCAGCGAAAGAAGAGGAAGTAAGTCGAGTCCTATCTGGGTTTTCTCTTACGCTAAGACCCAGAAAAAATTCAAACGTTTTATTTTTTACCAATCGTCGTTTGATACTAGCTTCAGTTTTTAATACAACTGATCACGTTTCCGTCAAACATTGACTCTGGCATTCATCGCCTAAAAACTCTTACGCCGGTTCATCGCTCGAATAATATTGCATAGTGTTCGTATTCTTCAAGTTATTTCTCGTCCTTTCGTTTGAAAGTTTAATACAGTCGTGGTGTTATGGGAAAAGAAGTTATCTTACGTATTTTGTTTTGCCCAGAAAGTTTTCAAACGATGTCGAACCGCGAGCGCAAGTTTCTACTTTTTTTCTCTTCAGTTAATTATCGCAGGATTACTCTATTCATTTGAAATATGTTGGGCTTTGCCGAAGATGTGTCGTTTAACCCTAAGAACGAAGTAATGGCCTTTCCCAAAATTAAAATAAAATAGGATTGAGTCAGCGATGTTCATGTTTACATTAAGTCTAACGCGGTAATTTGATTTTGACGATATTGTCATGTGAGAACCCGTCAAACATCTGAGAATCAAATTACGGACCGCAAATGTGTGGTGCAAACAAACTCACGGGTTAAATGGAGATGGTTCCACAGCAGGATGACTGAGTTTTAATTGTTTGGTTGTCGTACTTTTCAGCGCTATGTTTTCATGCTTTCTACTCGATTCGTTCGAACTTCAGGAAGTGGTTTGTGTCACAAAACAAGGACCCACTTTCTCTTCGCTCAACATTTCGAGGCGTAATGATGAACATGCTTGCGATACGATGTTTTTTTCTTTATGCTGGAAACTGAAGAATTAATCTCTAAAATTGATAGTCACCATATTTTGCAAGAAGCGTCCGAGCTGTGATTGTGCAGTTAAACGGGGTTCTGGCAATTTGACCTCACAAGCGCGCCGGTAAGCACATGGTTCGCGTAAATAATTGTTGTTTACAGTTTTCGAATCCAAGAGCATTTTTTGAGAGTCTGTTTCTGTAACCTTCCTGGATATTTTCTGTTAAATTCATGGAGGTTTAGTCTCGGAATTTCATAAGCGATTTTGAATGATAGATTCGTATCGGCACCATAATTTAGGGAAATTTTGTCAACATATTAACAGTTTGCAATTCGCGAACCATTCTTATAACCTGCTTGGATATTCTCTCGTGAACCAATTGAGTCCCACCCTCGGAATTTCATTAGTAATTAAGAACGACAAATCCGTATATATAGCGCAAGTGAAGCACGTTTTAAACTTTCATACGATTGTAGGAAACTATACTTAATTAACTCTCGATAAATTGGCCTGACATAACTCGATGATTATTTTATTATTTTGTAGCCCCAAAAGCCCGGCTTGTGACTCTGGAGGTACTGAACTTGGTATATTTGATACACAAGGCACCCTTCAAGTAGGAAGGTTAGAATAAAATTGCTTTTATGACCATATTTTGCACTCGGTTAACATATGTAGATAATTACTTAAAAAATACCTATTACAGCTGTAGTCAGAAGCATAGACATGTAGGCAATATGCTTCTGCTTTATTTTATTGTAAGGGGTTTCTTTTTATGTAACATGTATCCATCCTTTAATTTCCTCCTTAACCTGCCTGCAAATAATTGAATTTTGTTTGAATTCAAGATAAAACAGAAGTCTTGCAGAGTTCTCGTTCCAGATGGTATTCAAGTGAGAACATCAGTAAACAAGTTAAAATCATATGCTTCTCCTGAATCTTTAATTTTATTGCCCTGGTTTTTTTCAGAAACCCTATTTAATATCTCTGTGTGACAGCCAATGATTAAAACCTCAGTGAATAGATATGCTATATCTTAGTAGTTTTTTAAATTCCATCTTTATGTTTTTGGCATTTGCTATTTTAAAATTCATAAATGGCATTCCCTTTTCATCCTTGTAAAGAGATATTGCACATTTCTTGAACTAAAATATAAATTATGAAGTCAACTTAATGTCAATGAGTTCGAAACTTCATTCTACATATGAAGACTTTACTGGAGTATAATGTTATATTTATCTGCTGTCTTTCTTTTACAAATAATTACCATGTGTCTTACTCCCAAAATTTCATGGGTAATCCTCCTTACTGTCTGCCAAACAATTTATGTGATGTTAAATTTGAGAATTTGGAATTGGATCAACCAATAATCCTCAAATTGATATTTGTCTTAATTCTCATTACTTGTCTGCTTTATATCATACTAATAGTGTAAGGAGAAATTCTGTCTAGGTTAACAATGGGACTTAACCCTTTAACTCCCAAGATGTCATTAGTAATTCCCCTTACTATCTCCTATACAGTTCTTGTGATGTTAGTTTGGAGGATTTAGTATTGGATCATCTTATAATCCCCTAACTGATATTTTTTTATTCTCATAACTTTTCTGCTTGATATTGTAAGGAGAAATTCTTTCTTGGTCACTTATGGGAGTTAAAGGGTTAAAATGGGGGATTTCAACATATTGTAATGATTAAAATATTCCTATGCTTTCAAATGTACCAGTAACAAAAAAATGTGATGAGAATCTGATGATAGAAACACTTGCAATGGAAAAACCTGTAGCTGGTAGCTTATGTCTTTAATGCTTAAAGTTTTTAAAGCTGATAGAAGTAAGCTGTTCGCAAGTAATAAAGAGCAAATTGACAATCATAACTTAATGCTTGACATGCTTCACTCATACATGTCAGTTGTGTGTACCTACCATTGTAGGTGTCTTAAAAAAGGTTTTTTTTTTTTTTTCTCACAAGGCAACCTCCCAGGTGGAAAAGTAGAAGACCACAGAACGATGTTTACTTGGCATTTGTACTTAATGCAATCATATATTCAAGCAGTACTCTACATATATATAACTGATTACATGATGTCTTTAACCCTATACACCCCAATATCAGAATGCATATTCTCCATATATTTCCTTATGTGCTGGCAAGGAGAATTTGTTTAACAATCAAGAGGTTCTTCAGTTGATTATCATTTCCTTTATTCTCATGACCTTAATGTGTGACTCAGGGGTGATGTTAAAAGGAGAAATTAGATGCTAGTCACTCTCAGGGATTAAATTATTATTAGCTGTACACATTTTCATGTATATGCTCCTCACATTTGTTGGCAACAATAGCGAAGATTGTTAGGAAAGCAAACAAACAAGTGAACAGTAGACAGTGAAAAGAAGGAAACTGTAAACTTTACCATGTGATAGAAAAACATCACAGAATACTAAAAGAGGGGAAACTTGAATTGTGCTAGCTAATCTCCTCTATTGCCATTCATGTTTTTGATCAAATAGAATTTAATCAGTTGTAGGGTTTGCCTGCAATGTTTCAAATTGCCAGTGTAGACTTCATTCTCCTCAGATGTCCACTGGTAAAAGATAGATACTTAAAATAGCCATTCATAAGAAAAAGCACACATTCACACTGAAGTGGTGGCATGATTGATTTGTGATATTTGGAATGACAGAGGAAGGAAAAACACATTGAGCTTTTTCTTATTCACCAGTAAGTTAATTAGATTTTGGATTCTACATTCAGACTGGGTGAGATTAAATTTATTCATATCATGCTTCATTATGGTTTGTTTACCTGGAAAGGTAACTGTTATAGCTTCACAGATGTTTTTGTTACAATCACAATTAACATTCATAACAAAATTTCATTTAACGTGGAATATTTCAAGAACACTTTTCCTTTCTCTTCATTACCATTTACTATTCCTGGATCACAATTTAAGGTAGCAGGTTGTTAAAAAAAATTATAACTTTTGATTCAGGTAATTATTTGAATATGTGAGTAACATTTGATGATTTCACATGTAACAGGATGATCAAGCTGAAGATAGCCTAAAAAAGGATTGAACTTCACTGTAAGAATTAGGTAACTAATTTGGAAACTTGAGCACTTAGTAAATACACCATTGTGGCGTTGTTTATTGGAAGAACAAGACACACACAAGTGAAGTAACAGAGGTCTATTTAATCGATGTCCGACGAACTCTACAAAACCGGAAAGCATGGTCTCTAAAGTTTTGTTGCCATGGTAGTTATGACGTAAATGCGGACCGGAAGTAAATAGAACGATAAACATCGATATCGTTACATCTCCCTTTCTTCAGGAAACAAAAAAAAATGTAAACGTAACTGAATGTCTCAATCCTAGTTTAAAATAAACTACAAAAAAAAAAGAAAATTAAGAGTTTGTCATGTCCTTTTTTTGTTCTTTCGATAACCCCAATCACTGGTAACGTGTGGGTGGTCGCACAATTCGTCCAGATCGAGTGGTGGTCACCGATGGGGAAATCTCCTGCTTATCTGCTGCAGACTGAGGTGGATATTCCGGATGTGGCTTGTCCGTGTTCTGCAAAGGTACTGTGTCTGATTGGTCCTTACTGACTGCAGTACTTGGTATGGAAGGTGGTACCGATGGTATTTCATTACCAGAATTTGCAGTAGCAGAAATTGGTGTTGCTTTTGGGGATAATCTCATCCCATCTTCACTGTGTGGCATCACTTCACGTGTATGTCTCAGGTGTCTGCGGTTCCTCCTATAAATTCTTCCATCTTCTGTTCTGACTTGATAGGACCTTATGTCGACTTTGCCTTCGACTCTTGCTTGGGTCCAATCCTTCTTCTTTCCCAAGTGGGATTTTAGTGGCTGCAATCGCACTGTGTCTCCTGGGCGCAGTTCCTTCAGTTCTTTGGCGCCTTGATTGTAGTACAGGGATTGTTTAGCCTTTTGTAGCTTCAACTTCTGATCAACCTCCTCTGGTAGCTTCGGCTTGAGCAATTGGTTTGAGGTTGGGAGTGGAGTCTTTGTTCTTCTACCGAATAATCGCTGAACAGGTGACGAGTTGAGTGTTTCTGTGGGAGTATTTCTCCAGTCCAGCAGGGCAAGATATGGGTCTTGTTCGGACTTGACGGCTTTCTCTAGCAGATGTTTTGCTGTCTTCACCGTGTTCTCGACTTTGCCGTTGGACTGAGGATATGTTGGAGAGCTTGTTATATGTTCAAAACCATAAGTGTCTGCGAACTGTTGGAACTTTGCGGAAGAAAAGGGCTGTCCATTATCCGATACAAGCTGGTCGGGAATTCCATGGCGGGCAAGATGGGCTTTCAACTTCTTCACAACTTCGTCTGCTGTCTTGCTTGTCATTCTGTCGACTTCAAAGAAGCTTGAATAGTAGTCAACGGTCACCATGAAATCTACACCGTTCAGATCAAAAAGATCAACTGCGATTTTCTCCCAGGGTCTACTAGGCAGTTCGTGACAAATCATTGGCTCTTTTCCTTGCTCGACAGGCTGGCTGTTGCAGACGGCACACTTTGCTACATAATCTTCGACATCTTTGTTCATCCCAGGCCAGTAAACTACTTCTCTTGCTCTTCTGAGACAGCCTTGGATGCCGATGTGGCTCCGATGGATCTTAGCCAACATGTCAGCTTTCACGCTCATAGGGATAACTAGTCTTTCACCTTTGAAGACCAGTCCATTCTGTAAAGACAGTTCGTCCCGAAATGTAAAGTAACCACTGATGTTTGCTGATACCCCAGCTTTGGTAGCTGGCCAACCTTGCCTGATTGTTCTCTTCAGCTCTCTCAGGGTAGGATCGGATTCTGTTGCTTGCTGAATGGCAATCAGCGTTGGTTCCGATACTGGCAAGTATTGTATCATATTGATGTGCTCTAGCTCTCTTTCAGTGTCTCCTCTCATGTCCTCTATGTACATAACATCTTCTGCTACATCTTCTTTTGTGCTCTTGCGCACTCTGTATGCTCTGCTCAGTGTATCTGCCAGATACATTTCAGTCCCTTTTTTATAAGACACTTGAAGGTCAAACTTCTGCAATCTTAGCAACATTCGCTGGAGACGTTTAGGCGCACTGAGTAGACTTTTACGGAAGATGCTCTCCAAGGGTTTGTGGTCAGTTTGGATCTTGACAGGTCGACCATATACAAACTGCTCAAAACGTTCTACTCCGAAAAGTGTTGCAAGCATCTCTTTCTCTATCTGGGCATAGTTCACTTCTGTTTCTGTCATGGAACGAGATACATAAGCCACGGGCTGGCCTCCTTGCATTAGACATGCACCAAGTCCTCGGTCTGATGCATCACACTGCAATTCCACGTCGTCTTTGGGGTTAAAATACTTGAGGACAGGGGCAGCTGAGAGTATCTCCTTAACTCGCTTGAAACTACAACCTTGTACTTGCTCATCCCAACGGAACTGGTTCCCTTCTTTCAAAAGGTCTCTCATTGCTGGGAGGATATTGACTGTTGCTCCACAGTCTAACTGGAATTTCACTGTTTCATCCCTCAAGCGCATGTTAGCATAAATCTTCTTTGGACTGTTTTTTGCATAAAGGACGCTCACAGATTCTACACTGAATAAGTAATCATCAGAATCTTCGTCATTAAACTCCTGAACATCTTGTTCTACATTGTGAACTGACTTCTTAGTTTGCTTTTTTTTAGCTTTCTGACTTCTGCAAGCCACTGAGAAGTGGTTCATTCGACCACAGTTATCACACTTGTGCTGCCATGCTGGACAGAGTTCCTTTTTTAAAGGATGGGTTCTGTGGCAGAACTTACATCTAACTGGTTCTGTTACTTTGTTGTGGACGGGGCGTTGAACTTTACTGAAATTTCGTACTTCATTATGGCGTAAACCAATCTTCGATTTTGGGTGGCCTGTGGCAACGGCGCTAACCTCCTCCGCATGGGACATCTCCTTAAGTTGTTTGGATGTGGTTTCACTCGCACGGCAAATATCAATACACTTGTTAAGAGTTAGTTTGTTCTCAGCTAGCAGCTTTTTTCGGGTGGCGTTATCTCTAATTCCTACGACAACTCTGTCTCTAATCATTCGCTCTTGCATGATGCCAAAATTGCACGTTTTAGCTAACGAACGTAAAGCTGTAAGGAAAACATCAAATGACTCACCGACCTCTTGTACTCTCTGATTGAACAGATAGGCTTCGTATATTTCATTCGTCTCACCGATGAAAAAGGCGTCTAGAAGCTCTATCACTTTGTCGATGTCGGTTTTCTCCTCTTCATTTCCGAAGGGCAAACCATCGTAAATCTCCAGGATATCTGGGCCAATACATGTCAACAATGTGGCTGTTCGAAGATTACTGCTTTGCGTACTGAGCCGTGAGGCGATCTCGTAGTTTGTCCAAAGCCGCTTAAATTTCTTCCAATTCACAGCTAAGTTCCCCTTGAAGTCTAGTTTCGACGGTAAAGGAATAGAGGACTGGATAAATTGAGGAGTTGCTGGCTGCGTGCTTGTTGACGCTACGCTCGACGAGCCTGATTCGGTCATCTGGAGCTAGATTCACTGAGTTTGGCTTGAAAATGCACTCAAGTATTTCAGCGACGATTCTGTAGGAAGAATCCCAAATCACTGACACCATGTGGCGTTGTTTATAGGAAGAACAAGACACACACAGGTGAAGTAACAGAGGTCTATTTAATCGATGTCCGACGAACTCTACAAAACCGGAAAGCATGGTCTCTAAAGTTTTGTTGCCATGGTAGTTATGACGTAAATGCGGACCGGAAGTAAATAGAACGATAAACATCGATATCGTTACAACCATGGCTTGCAATTTTGATGATTACAGTTTGCTGAGGTAATTGAAATGTTAGTCCCCATGCAGGAACCTTTCACTTGACCTGTACAGTCATGTGCTATGAGATAACTTTAGAAAAATTTATGCATTTGTGTTGGCAGAACTATTGTAAATACAGTACCACCTTGAGACAAAAATAAATGATTTCCTGTAAGCATGAACATTTGGGAGAAGTTATGGTGGTAAATGACCCTTCTTTTGCTAGGATGCATAGGGTCTGATGATTGTCATGTATATTTTTTAGCTTTCAAACTTTCAACTTTGTATTAATTGTAGCTGTTTACCATGTTTGTTCTCTGTACCATAAGCCCTCAAAAGTTGAAGCTGGCAAGTCAATAATCTGACTTCCTTTGTTGGGAATTGTGTGATTACATAATTTTGCTGTGTAAGTTACCATACTGTAACATGAAGTATTATTATATAGATTGCATTAAATACACTAGCTCAAGCTTTCATTAATGCATGGTGTTTCTTACCAACAGTCCTACCCAAACTGAACATTGAAATAAGGAATTGGTCACAAGATATGCGAGTTTAAAAGGGTGGGAATCTGGAAAAACAAGGATCCTTCTTAATTAAGACTGAAATTAAGGGGGGCCCTCTTATTTTAATTCATGTTTTTAATTGAACCTGCCTCCTCCCCTGTAATGTTTAGGGCACATAGATGAAGAGAACATTTTTTTGTATTTTGATGCATAAAAGTTGAATTACCAGTAATTGGCATCCACATAATCACAAAGCAAGAATGTAAAGCTTTAGCTTAATTGGTTAACAAATTAAAGTAAGAGAGTTTTGCAGACTGTGTCTGACTTTTTATCCTGGCTCTGGATAT